AAGCAGTAAAATCGATCTTGCTAACCAGACGTTCCGCTGTAACTAAACTGGTATAGCATGTCAGGCTATATAACGGTTCCGTATAGGATACAGGCTTGATTCCTGTCGGAGGACGTATATTTTCTATGAAAATAACTCGGACGTTCAGGAGTAGAACCTCCCAGCCATGGTTTAAATAGTATGACAGCTTCAGCCTTGGTTGGTAACCAGTCTGAAAGAAAGTCAACTTTGAAGTAAAAATGGTTAGATTCCTTTGAAGAATTGATAACACATTGTCGACGGTTCTCTGTAATTGGTTCTTCCATAAAGTTTGGTTAGGTCAACACGAGCCGTCACCGTAGATGGTATGGATGTTTAGTTCTAAGGTTTGGGCTTCTTGACCATTATCCATCGAAAACAACTGGAGTGTTGTATTTAGATACAGTTATGCCAAACGTTTGAGCTACATTGGAAAATTAATTACTTTTTTAAATTTTATCCCAAAGTCGAGATTTTTTAGCGGTATACTTTTCTCTTTGTGGGCGAGAAAACAAGTTAATCCACGTTTGTCAATACTGTATGGTGGATGATAGAACGTCTTAAGAATAGAGATGTTAAAAAAAAGCCATAAAAAATTACCGGGAAACTAGCAAAAATTCAACTCAAAAACGTACAACACGTCAAATTATGGAGTTAGTAATTAGTGTAGCTGCATTTGGCTCGAATAATTGCCTCAATTCGATGTGGCAAGGCCGAGATATCCTCACTGGGAATATTTATTTTATTATTTTTCTTGGCAATAATTCCAAAGCTCTTGAAGATTGCGTGGGTTTTCTTGGAAAAAAATTCTTTAGTCAGTTTCTACCAGAATGGTTAAATTATCTTGGCATCCAGACTTTACTGGTCAGTATCCAAAATCTTGAATATTTTCATCTGGATGAAATCTTTTTACTACACTTGATGTGCAGCAAGAAGCACCGTCATGCTGAAAATTTATCCGCCTTCGTTGTCTGGCAGAAGATTAGACCGTAATAAAATTCTTGCTTATAAGGCTTCCGTCAACTTTTACCAGTTTTAGTCTAATTTCGCTTTTAATGCAACCACACCTCATGGCGTGTTTAGCACTAAATTTTACTGTCTTTGTCGTGTATTTTTCATTGTTTCCCCCACTTGTTCCTTGCATAAACCAGACCAAACTATGACTTGCCAAGGTATCTGACACTCGTGCTAATATAATGAGACGATTCTTACTTGGGGATTTGCATATTATCACCTTCCTCACCTCATTTTTCACTGGGCCAGCAGTTTTATATGGCATTTTTTCAGCTTCACCCTACTTAAAGCGGTACATCTTCTCTTACTTGGTACCTACAAAAACGTACCAATTTATTTTCCAAACCACAAGGTCCGCAGTCTCTACTAACAAAAGCAGAATGCTAAATAATCTTAAAGTCTTAATAGAATAAATGTGTATAATTATTTTATTTTGTTGGTCCAAACCATTTGCACTGTTAAATAAAGCGTAAGGAGGACGGCGGAGTAATGGATAGCGGCTCGGATTGTGGAATCGGAGAGCCGAGTTCGAATTCCAGCTGAATCCATTACATTCACTTACGTGCTAATACCCTTGGGAAAGATATGAATCCTCTTCTTCCCACCCCAACTATAGGTAAATAGCAGGAAACACCTGGTTCTATAGCCTTGGATAACAACTGGTCTAACACAGAAAGAAATGGCAATCTACTGCGGGAAAAAATCTGCCTCGTTAGTCATGTATCGAAAGATACATGATCGCCTAAGCGTGTATTACTAACTGTATTAGTGCAGATAACTGACTGATTAGTTTTAAGTCATGTGATTTTATTTCGTTATTTTGATCGGGATGTACTTGTAGGTAGCGTAGTTAGAACTGTTTTCGTTCCTGCACCTGGAAACGAGCTCTAATCTCTGTTTTGGAGTTTGCCTTTGTTCTCAAAAAGTAATTATCGCTACTTTAATCTAGTCAAAGTTTACATTGTTTTGAAATGTTGTTTTAAACTAGTGGTGTTTTTTTTTTCTTATTTACTTTGGTATTTTTCGTGTTTTTCCTAAATGGTTTCCCATAAACGATTTGCGAGGGTTACCATTATATCATGGGAATGATGGCGTAGAAGATTATTGTTGGCTATCTGCGATTTGGAATTCAAAGTCGTGTTTCTCGGTTGGCTGCTACCCAAGCCTAGAAAGACGCTGCTTTTCAAATCCCAGTTGAGGAGAGAAGTGATGGACAACTGTATTTCCACTGGCATTTGTGCAAAGTGAAAATAACAGAAGGCCGGTATCGGAATTTGGCTTGCTGATTTTTCTCGCAAATTCCATATCCGTTACACAAATTACACATCTTTATAGCAAATTTTTAGGGGGTAGAAAATTCATTACTACTATAGATTTTAACAAATACAACATACATATTATTTTTCTGTTAATAAATCGCGATTTTGCATTTTTTTCTATTAAATAACGAATGTTACAGCTTCACTTTTGTATATCTGAATTGATTCCATCACTACAATTGAGCTTTAGGAATATAATAAAGTATCTTTTTAAAATTTCTCTGGGCTATATACGCGGCTAAATAAAACATCGTATGGTAAAAGGCAGTAGAAAGTTGGTTTTAAATAGAACAACGGTAGAGAAAATGCTGACAGTTTTAAAAACCGATTTTCACGACAGCTTTGTCGCAAAAGGTTTTCTTTTTGAAATGAAGCAACTAATAACTATTTAGACGTAAATATCGAAGTCATTAATTTCTAAATTACATCGGAAATTATTTTTAAATGCTTGAAGGGTTTTCTATAGAAAATCCATCATAAATATGGCTGCTATAAGCAAGTCAATGACTTTATATTTGTGTTAGATACTTTCATAAACAAAGAGACTATTTGCAAACGGTATGTTAAATATGAATGAGCATAGAACAATTATTGCCCTCGTTTTGGCTGTTCTTATCAAAACGTTTCAGACGCTGTGCTCACTGGTCTTCGTTAGGTGTAGCTAAACTGCAGAATAAATTATTTAATCTACGATGGTAGATCTTTCACGTTCTATTGACCAAATTTCGAGATTTCTTGTCTAGTTTATTTTTAGTACGGCTCAGTGCTTGTTCCGTTTCTACTAAGTCCAGGTAACTGCTGTCCCGCCAAGGGATTCCATGTTGGTTGCACGGATCGACATTCCCTGGATTCAGGCAGGATATCACAGTGGCCGACGCCCTGTGATAACAATAATAAAAATGGGGACAATAATCGAAGTACACATATACCTATTTTCTGGCTTTCAAGAGACTGCGTCTTGGAAGACGCAACCTAATATTGGAAAGAAAATTCTAAAAAAAAAAAGTCATTCTCATACAACAAGACATTCAGCATGCGTCCCTCACATACTGGCGACACGTATTGTTTTCGTTAATCATTCGTTCGATTTTGTTGTATAGAAGTGACATACTAGTCAAAAGCAGTAAACAGAGCATGTTTAAGTTTGTGGCTCGGTTCCAGGAAGGTTTTTAGTTTTGGAAATACTTGTAATAGCTAAATACTGAGGTTACATCATGTAAAAAGCTGAATTAGATATCTAACATTATTGTGTAATGACTCAACATACAAGTCCACGTCCCTACCAGTCAAGCCAATTCGGTGACCGTCCAAGCTTACCTGAGCCTGAGCGCTGCCTTACATTCGCCTTGGAAGACGCACAGGTACTTTTCAGGGTATTTTCAGGAAAAAAATGCGTCTTGTAAGCCGGAAAATACGGTAGGCTAGTAAATATTTTCACGCTAAAATTGGCGATATATTCTCGATATTACTAAAATTTTCAGGAAATATATATATATATATATATATATAAGCGTTTCACCCCAAGCAAGGCGGGAGGCCACTAGGACGCAAGGGGTTATAGAAAATTTGGAGCAAGATCAGATAGGAGTGATAGAATAAAGGATGAGTAGGAGGGTAGTGGATAGATCAAGGCAACTGGATATGTCGATTGATATTACATTTGAATAGCTGGAGATTATAGTTCTCAGGGAAACTGGAATAGGAAAGGGAGTTTCACAGGCGAGAGGTGCTAGCTATTGGAGTAGAAGAGACGGCTAGTAGTTTCGACAGTGAAAGTGTGAGAGCGGGATGCCAGCCTCGTAGGGCGCTTGAATTCATGAAGTCTGGGAACCAGCGAATGAAGCTCCTCGGAGCAATTACCATGAAAGTATTTGTAAAAAAGACAGCGCGTCTCTGAGAAAGTAACTGTAGACGAGATGCCAGAGCAGGGCTAATTATATTGCATATCCGCCTATCAAGAACACCGAGGCAAACAGAAGTGGCTCCAGACCATATATGGCAGCAATACTCCATGCAAGTGCGAATTGTTGATTTGTAGATCTGGAGGATCGATTCCGGGAGAAAAATTTCCTGGGGCGGCACAGGGAGCCAACTTTCCTTGCGAAGCAATTGACTCAATGTATTTGTTCCATCTCAGGTCAGCCGTCAACGTGAGACCAAGCAACCGCAGAGAGGTGCTCTCGAGAAGTTGATTTCAGACCTTCTAATGGAAGGCAGGGAAGGATCTCTGTGGTGATTAATTATCAGTATATTGTGTGAGTGTTATGCTATAATATCTGTCATTATTACAAATATTGAATGAAGTTTCATAATGCGATGTAGAAGTACATGTTAAGTCAAGATTAATTCGAAAAGATATAGGAGACAGAAACATATTATCCTTTATGCGTATTCCTATTATTTTATTATTTTACAGGATAACATTGGCTCTTTCTTCAGTTTCTGTCCATGTGTCAATTTATACAAAGTGTCACATTTTATTATTCTGGGCTATATTTTTTCCATTAAATTTTTTTCAAGAAATTTCTTTCGGAAAATTTTTTCGGGATATCTTCATATTTCCATGACTAATATCCCACGTGTATTACAACATCACCTTTCTAATATTTACAGCAACCTGGTGCATAGTCTATATTATACATTGCACAGTTTATGTTTTTGGCATCTCTATCTATCTATCTATCTATCCAAATGAGAGAAAGAACGGGATTAAAATTCCACAGTTCGTAGCATTTGCTTTTAAAAAAAGTGCTCAATAAAAAGTAGAACAATATTTTATTTTTTTTTATTATAAGACACTATAATATAAACGTTGAAATCGTTCCACAAAAGCTATCATTTTTCAATCATATTATTGAAACATGAACGATTTTATGTTGCGATTGCAACATGTTTTTTATTATAATCCCTTATAATAAAATAATATCTATTCATCTATCTACATATCTATCTTCATTTGTCAGTCAGTTCATATTTATTCAGTCTCTTCTATCAACAAGCATACAAACTTATAAGAACAGTCATACTATCTATCTATCTATTTCTTTTTTCCATATCTATATATTTTCTCATTTTATATGAATGAGGAGTAATGGATAGCGGCTTGGATTGAGGAATCACAGAGACGTTCGAGTTCCAGTCGAATCCATTACATTCACTTACATGCTAATACCCTTGGGAAAGGTGTGAATCCTCTTCTTCTCCCTCCAGCTATGGGTAAATAGCAGGACAGACTGGGTTCTATAGCCTTGGATGGCAACTGGTCTAGGAAAAGGTTAACTGTGAATTCAAAACCTGTGGAGGGTCGTTTGGGGACCTTGTGTCACTTAGTGCACCAGGTCTCTGTATTCGGCCCTTCAAAAACTGGTCCTGCACGAAACCTTCCTCACTATAATCAAATCTTATGTGCTGTTGTCGAGTTGTCGATTTCCTTGGAACTGATCTGCTTGACCCTCATACGTTGAATTCGACGGGAGAGTCAACTATATATATATATATATATATATATATATATATATATATATTTGTTATTTCATATTTATCCCAGACTGCTCTATCGACACCCATACAAAACAGATGAGGAACTATCTATCTATCTATGAGAAAATGAATATAGTTTTAAGGTATGCTGTATTTACAGATTAAAATGATAATTATCCACGATAGTGTTTATAAATATAAGCATTGTGGACATTGATGGCCAAAGCGAGTGGTGAATGTCTGTTTCACACTTCAATGAATTTTTCTGTCTGAAGATTGTATTCAAGCCTGAAAGTGATTGTCATAATTCCGTGTTGACATCAGAATCCATGGTTTCTTGGCTTATCTTTTCTATATTTTAAATTTTTATGGTTTACGGCGAACATGTAAATATGAATTGTATGTTTTAGTATTTTCCACTTTCACAAAGCATTATCCACGATTTGTAATTGAAAATTATTTGTATTTTGTTCTGTCCATTGCATCTTGTTTCAAAGCACTGAAATTGATATAGCACAAAATAGAAACTCTTAAGAAATGGGTTATGAATGTCGAAACAACAAAAATACTGAAATGTTTGTATTAACATTATATTAAAAAAAAGTAAACACATGATTACTTCAAAAACCCATTTCCTTAGATTTTAACCGAATTCATATAAATGAATAATCGCAGCAAAATAAATGTAATCTCCCCATTCTCTCTCTCTCTCTCTCTCTCTATATATATATATATATATATATATATATATATATATATATATACACGAGATAAAGAGGAATAAGTAGCGAAGATAATACGTTTTATATGAAAAAGATTATGTACATAGGAACCAAGCAGTGTTGTTTCCTTTGTTTACACCCATCTATCTATCTATCTATCTATCTATCTATCTCACTTAGTTTGGAGATTATGAGCGTTCTTAAACAAAGAAATTGAAAACAAGTAATATATTTATTTACGTTTATAAATACTTTTTGAAAAATAAAACCCTTATATTTGCCATTATTTACGTCCATCAGAGGACAGAGTGCATCGTGCATATATATATATATATATATATATATATATATATATATATATATGACGTTTGCATCTAACATGAAACTGCCTATCGCCTGAGAGTGTTGACTTCAATGGTCACTTATATATATATATATATATATATATATATATATGACCATTGAGGTCAACACTCCCGAGACGATTCAAAATTTCACGCTAGATGCAATCATCAGGTCGCTATATATATATATATATGTATGTATGTATATAATGCACTTAGTCCTCTGATGGACTTTATAATGCCAAATATAATGATTCTATTTTGCAACAAGTATTTAAACATATATAATATATATATATATATATATATATATATATATATATATATATATATACGATATTAAACGACAGAATGATAGTTTATATTAAAGAAAGCTAATGTTTTGGTCAAATAGATGTAGATATTTTTCAGATATTTGCGAGAGATAGCTTTCAAATTTATTGCCAATTATGATAGGATAATGAACAAATATTATACGTTTACTCATAGAACGTATTTCAATTTTATTAAAGTTTCCATAGAGAATAATATATGGATAAAAGATTTCACTGTTTTTATTTTTGTTTGATATCCATTGATTAAGCAGACGTCACGTGTATTTGACTAGTCAAGCAGAAGCGTTTTTCTCTATAATTTATGTTAGTTAGTATTTTATAATTCTAGTTTGTCAATGCGGATTCGGATAATAATGTATGCAAGTATTTTTTTCTTGTTTACTATGCATTATTTATGTTTGAAGGTTATGTTTTTCTGTCAACATCTGTCGCCGTAGTTATATATACGCTAGATTCTTTATGGATGAATTTAAAAAAGGGTTTGTGCTGTAATATGGTATTTTTTTTTCAGTGTTTATATTTGTTAAAAATCCTTCGAAATATTTTCGACGTAACAATTGTGTTATTTTTTAATTATTTTTACATTCGTAAAATCAAAGTTATCGTCAGTCTTGTCCCTATGTATTACAAGTAACTTTAAATGGTTGTCCAAAAATATGTCTCTCTTGTGTTCACCTATGCAAGTTTCCTGCGTAGATAAACTGGAATTATAATGTACTTACATGGATAATTTATACATACGAATGCTGCTTGATTAGTCAAATCCACACAATGAAAATTAAACATAAAAATAAAAAAAAAATTACCACAGTTTATTTTTCCAAATCTCATAAGCGTTAATAACAGCGAAACATTAAAATTGATATAAGTTTCCTACCATTCCGTTAGATTCCAGTCCATATTCGATCTGTATTTGATCACAATTTATACACAAGAGCAAGAATATCATTAGTTTATTAAGGCTTTTAAATTTGAGTACATGACTATTCATCAGGTGTTTGAAAGGTCAGCCAAAACATATGGAGGACACAAAGTGCCATAATTCAAAATCTGATAAGGCAAATATAAGCGGACAATATTTATCTTTGTAGAGGAATGAATTGAAAGAATAAGAACTTCGGCTGAAACTTTTGTGTTATGCGTTGTGCCGCTCAAAATACAAATTGTCCAATAATTTTCTAGATTTATATATAAGTACATCAAGTCTGAAAGCATACCTCATATTTAACTTATATTTAGAGTCCCAAACATTATTCTATCTCCCTCCTCTCGTCTCATCAGGTATTTAAGTTGTTTTACTTGTTTAATTTTAGGATCTCCAATTTGTAATTCGCTTCTTGATCTGTTCGCTATTTTTACACTCATTCTATTTGCTAGAAAACATGTCATGAAATGTCTTTCTTACTAATTACGATAGATAGCCTGCAAAACATTTAAAAATTTTATGATTTTTTCCAAATTTTCTTATATATTCTCCACTGCTATTAGAATGTCACCGAAGTGTAGCAAGTTTGCGTGTGTTTCTCCTCGTCTCTTTCTCTCTGTCTCTTTGCTCTCTCTTCGTTTCTGTTTGTTTATGTACTTTCCCGTCTCTCCCTCTCTCACCCACACTTTAAACACACACACACACACACACACACACACACACACACACACACACACACACATTATACTCTGATATGCATTTAGTATATTTAAGGAAAGGATCACGCGTTGATTTTTTTTTTTTTTTTAATTATTTTCTAATTTTTCCCGCGGGTTTAAATCTTCAAGAACCAGGTAATTACGTGCCTTATTTTACTCAAATTGTTGGTTAACGATTGGATTTCTGAAAAGATAATAGAAAAGTTGAAGAGAAAATAAGCATGAAATGATTCGTGAGGAACATTAATTGCAAGTGCAAACAATCCAATCGTCGTAATATCGAAATTGAAACCATTTCCCTCCAGCGAGAAGTCATAAATTTAGGCAAGAATAGCAAAGGCTTTTCTAACTTTATTTCTTACAATGACATTCGTTTCAGAAGAAGGAATGACAAATACGTGTAGCTGATTGCTGACACTCGCCCCCCCCCGCCAATTCACCTAAATTAGTGTTTAGTCTGGCGTAATGGTTATTAGCAGTCAATGGAATTGTTGAACCAATATTGAATTCTGGCTAATTTTCATGACTTCAGCTGTAAACATTATCATGTTCATCATCTATATATCGTATTCCTTCTGGACGTAAGCAGTCATTTCTCTCAACAGCGTTCTATCATCTTTAGCTCTGATAAAGAACACGTCAATTACAGAAGGTAACCTGTAAAAACAAAAACTAGATAATGGGTCAATTCTTGCAGACAATTGTATAAATCTTATAAATTTTTACCTTATAACAAATGTGTTGACCAGATATATGTCTCCTTTTTATCTCAAGTATAAAACAAATCAATACTGACCTTTTGTCTCGAGTACACATCGAACCTATAGCGATCTTTTCAGTCACGTATAAATCTGACCAATAAATCTTTTATGATTCATGTTTAAACCAGACCAATGTGTAGCTTAACATTTTCATTTTACATTTGAAATAGAAAGGAGTACATAAGTTCTATGCAAACATTTTCTCTTCTCGCACTCATCGCTTGTGGAGCAGACTTCAAGCTTCTTTCTTACCAGTCAATTTTAAGCTTGAAAAATTTAAATTCAATATCAATCGTTAACTTTCATCTTTTAAATTCCTGCACTTTTATTGCTCGCTTTCTCCTTAATAGCGTTTTTCTTTTTCTCATATTCTTTTTCACTCAATAACCTTATGTGTCTTAGTGATTTTATTGCCACGCATAGGGTGAAATGAGATATATATATATATATATATATATATATATATAAATAAAAAGACATTTTTTATGTTTATACGTTGTTTTATAGATTCAAATATTTAAGTAAATGCTCTGTTTATAATAAGCAGTATTAATAACATTAACCAACCTGAATGTCCGAGAAATTTTCATAGAAAATATATGCCCTCCGACAGGAATCGAACCTGTATCCTATACGGAACCCTCATATAGCCTGACGTGCCTTAACCGATTGGGCCACAGAGGAGCGTTCGGTTAGCAAGTTCGATTTTACTGTTTTTAAGTAAATAAATAATAATAATTGTCGGACTTTGTCCATTTCATAATATATATATATATATGAAAAAATATAGTCTTATGGTGTGCTATATTTATGGGATAAAGTGCTTAATATCAGTGATAGAGCGTGTGTAAATATAAAAAGTGAACATAGAAGTCAACACTAGAGGCGACAGTCTGTTTCATGTTATATGCAATCGTCAGGCGACGTGTGCCTGACGATTGCATATAGCATGAAACAGACTGTCGCCCCCTAAGTGTTGACTTTATGTTCACTTATATATATATATATATATATATATATATATATTATATAATGTGTGTTTTTATATATTATATATGCGCGGTACTTATTGGAAACCGCTCAATATTAGTGATAGAGCTAAAATATTTAGTTGGATTGATGTGAGTTTGTGACCCTAGGTTCATGGATACATGTCTTCACCCAGTCTGACACTGTTCATATATGTATATGTTAGTGTGAACTATAATACGTACACTTGCATGTATGTATGTCTTCTTACGTATGAGTGACATCCCGAAACGGACACAGCGGAGAATTTTTCTTAGCCATAAAAAGATTCAAAATTTTGAAAGTTA